TCTGGCCGACTTGTTCCTTTATTCATACGAGGCTTACTTCATACTGGAGCTTCTTATGAAGAATGAGAAGAAGCTAGCATTATTCATTAACTTTACGTTCCGCTACATAAATGATGTCCTCTCACTAAATTATTCAAAGTTTGGTAACTATGTTGAACGAATCTATCCCATCGAACTTGAAATAAAGGATACAACAAATATAGTTAAGTCTGCCACATATCTTAACTAACATTTAAAAATTGACAATTAGGGTCAGTTGAGAACAAAACTTTACGACAAAAGATATAATTTCAGCTTTCCAATTGTGAACTTTCCATTTCTATGTAGCAACATCCCAGCAGTGACTCCATATGGAGTATATATCTCCAAGTTGATATGATATTTTACAACTTGCCTTTCTTTTCATGGTTTCCTTGATAGAGGGTTGCTGCTTACAATAAAGCTATTAAACCAAGATCCCAAGTGGTAAAGGTGAAATTTGTATCCTCAAAGCTATTCAACTTCGTACTTTATTTGTCTTTTTTTATAACTTTTTTTATTCGAGCGTCACTGATGAGTCTTTTGTAGACGAAACGCTCGTCTGGCGTACAATGGTTTTTTTTCCAGGTGTTTATGATGAGTTTATTTACATGAGCAACACGACGGGTACCTCATGTGAAGCAAGATCTGCTTTCCCTTCCGAAGCACCTGAGATCACAACCGGTTTTAGTTTGGGTTCGTGTTGCTCAGTCTTGTGTTTTTATACTGTTATTTATCTTTTGGTCGTTTTTCTTTCTTTGTCTTGGCATTGTCAGTTTGTTTTCGACTTATGAGTTTGAATATCCCTTTGGTATCTTTCTCCTTTCTTTATGTTTCTGTCCTGAATAGACATGAGATAGTGGCCACTGGACATTCATCAAAAATTATTAAAATATTATCAATACAAAATTCCCTTCTATATCTGCATGGACACAAATGTGCCGTTTTCTTGTACAAATAGTTACACCCAAGCAGCATCGCGGTTCTGAAACATCAATGAGACCTTCACTGTCAAGGTGCTAATACTTTGCCTTACAAAAATATCAGTCAAGATGATCGATGAATTCATGTCCCAAATAACTGATCATTAGAAAATAAAATCATTCTATTCTATTCAATCCTATCGAGCATAGTTGCTAAACGCTATTATGACTAATATACATTTTCAAGAACGGTGTTGACACACAGTCGCAAAATAATAAATAATTCTATACTGATAACTGAATCAGTATCATGTTTACAAATCGTGCAACAACAGTCATTATCTAGAAGTTGAAACATTATTTTTTTTACATATCAGGTATCGAAACTTCAATTTATCGGATATTTGTTACATATGATAAATATAAAGGTTTATCAATAAATCACGGGTTCTTAGTAAAATTTAAAGTACCAATATAATCAACAGAGTAGAAACTATTCGTGTCTGGTTTAAGGTGGATTTCGTGCTGCTCAGTTTTAAGTTTTCTATGTTGTGTTTTGTGTACCGTTGTTTATCTGTTGATCTTTTTTTTTCTTTTGCCATGGCGTTGTCAGTTTATTTTAGACTTATGAGTTTTAATGTCCCTTTGGTATCTTTCGCCTCTCTGTTAATGTTATTTCAAAACATGAATTTAGTTTGATCAATAATTTAAATGAATATGTCATAGATAACACAAGTCGTAATTTTTTCAGAAACATAGAACAAAATTACAAGCCTGGTATCTTTGACGAGAAATGTATTACAACTAATGGGTCGATGTCACTCCTGGGAGAGGTTTCCTCCCCGAGAGTATTATATAAAGGCAACAGTAGGATACCGCTGTTCAATAGTCATAAATCGATTTAACTGAAACAAATCCCGGTCACAAACCAAAACCGAGGGAAACACATCAACTATAAGAGGAAAACAACGGAACAACAGAAACACTTAACTGCTACAAAAACAAACGCCAACATACATAGAAACGGACTATTTGATAACAACTGCCATATTCCTGACTTGGTACAGGACATTTTAAGAACAAAATGGTGGGTTGAATCTGGTTTTATAGCTAGCCAAACCTCCCGCTTATATGGCAATGCTAAAAATACCGCTAAAATGACAATATTACATGACAGGAATACAGTACAAATAAACGCAAGAACACTCAGGACAGAGAAATACATAAATAAATAATATAAAAGTACATTACAAGATGTAAACCAAAGAATAACAACGGACACCTCCTATGTACACCACAATAGAATTATGAACTGTGCGTCACACGAATGTATCATTGATATTGTCATATCTATAAATGAACTGTTAACAAAACTTTGAATTGTTCGAAACTTTCAGGACTATTTACCCCAAGAATAGATAACCTTAGTTGTAATTTGTAAAAACTCTTAAGTCAATAATAAACTGACAACGCAATGGTAAAAAAAAGACCAAAAGATAAACAAGTTCACAAAACGCAGCATAGAAAACTAAAGGCTGAGCAACACGAACCCCACCAAAAGCCTGGGTGACCTCAGGTGCCCCGGAAGGGTAAGCAGATCCTGCTCCACATGTTGCATTCGTCGTGTTGCTCATGTTACCCGGTGATAATTCGGTAAGTCTCATTCGGGGGAAAGATGACGGGATTGTGGTTACAATTGGAATTTAGCTGTATTTGGCTAATTCTTTCGGAATTTCTGGCTTTAAATGCTTATCAACTACGTACTTTATTTGGCCTTTTAACTTTTTTATTCGAGCGTCACTGATGAATCTTTTGTAGACAAAAAAATTACTGTACAATACTGTCAACTACACATTAGGAGAGCTTTCTATCAAATGGTCTCAGTTCACAAGGTGTTGTCACAATACTAAAAAACATAGTCAAAATACAGTAGGTCCTGTAAAAATAGTTGATTCGAAATAGCGGAATAGTATGGTCAACTACACTACTGATTGCAACACTACTACTAAGTATAAAAGCTTTCTTTAAAATGCACTCAGAGAAGTTGCGTTCAGACAATGTCACTGCTGGCGGAGTATTATTCCCCCGATTTATTACCAGCCCAGTAGTCAGCACTTCTGTGTTGACATGAATTATCATCGATATGGTCATAATTATAAATCAACTGTTTAATTACAAAACTTCGAATTTTTTCGAAATATTAAGGATTTTCTATCTCAAGAATAGATTACCTTAGCTGTATTTGGCAACACTTTTAGGAATTTGGGGTACTCAATGCTCTTCATCTTCGTACTTTATTTGGCCTTTTTAACTTTTTTTAATAGTACGTCACTGATGAAACGCGCGTCTGACGTTCACAATTTCAATCCTGGAATCTATGATGAGTTTATTTACAACCCCTCGGTCGTTGCCACTGCTGGTGGAGTTTTTATCGCCGAGGGTATCACCAGCTCAGTAGTCAGCAATTCTGTATTAACATGAATTATCATTTATATGGTCATAATTATAAATTAACTGTTTACAAAACTTAGAATTTTTTGAAATACTAAGGATTTTCTACCTCAGGAATATATTACCTTAGCTGTTTTTGGCATCACTTTTATGAATCTTTTGTAAACGAAACGCGCGTCTGGCGTTTTCAATTTCAATCCTTGTATCTATGATGAGTTTATTTACAACCCCTGTGTCGTTGCCACTGCTGATGTAGTTTTTCTCCCCGAGGGTATCACCAGCCCAGTAGTAAGCACTTCTGTGTTGACATGAATTATCATTGATATTGTCATAATTATAAATAAACTACTTACAAAACTTAGAATTTTTCGAAATACTAAGGATTTTCTACCTCAGGAATAGATTACCTTGGCTGTATTTGGCAACACTTTTATGAATCTTTTGAAAACGAAACGCGCGTCTGGCGTTTTTAATTTCAATCCTTTTATCTATGATGAGTTTATTTACAACCCCTGGGCCGTTGCCACTGCTGATGTAGTTTTTCCCCCCGGGGTATCACCAGCCCTGTAGTAAACACTTCTGTGTTGACATGAAATATCATTGATATTGTCATAATTATAAATTAACTGTTTACAAAACTTAGAATTTTTCGAAATACAAAAGAGTTTCTACGTTAGGAATAGATTACCTAAGGTGTATTTGGCAAAATTTTTAGAAATTTGGAGTTCTCAATGCTCTTCAACTTCGTACTTTATTTGGCCTTTTCAAATTTTTTGATTCAAGCGTCTCTGATGAATCTGTTGTAGTCGAAACGCGCGTCTGGCATACACAATTTCAATCCTGGTATCTATGAAGAGTTTATTCACAAGGTGTCATTGTTTATGAATGCAATTATTCTGGAAACCAAAATTGACAAAATTTTACATCCACTTAATTTGAATTTTGGTGGATAGTGGTCTCATTGGCAATCATACTACATCCCCTTGTTTCTACATTGACAGACTGAATGATGGATGGATAGATCGATCAAAAACATACTTGATAGCCTTGGTTATAACAAATAATTTTATATAAATATTACCTTACCTGTACTTAGCAAAACATTTTGGAATTTTGGGTCCTCAATGTTCTTTAACTGTGTACTTTATTTTGCCTATTAGCGTTTTTAATCCGAGCATCACTGGTGAGTCTTTTGTAGAGGAAGTGCGCGTCTGGCGTAAATATTTTAAGCCTCGTATCTATAATGAGTTAATATGTAATTTCAAAAATTACTGCAATTCAGGATGACGTATGTGAACTTAACCTACAGCATATTGAAAGGGGATAATAGCAAATCTAAAGGATTTTTTAACTTCATTTTGTACTGTCAGTTCAAATTTTGAGACAAAGTTCTGCATGTCACAATGAAGATGATGATTCAATGTGACTTTGAAATATACTGACGTCAGTACAGATTGTGAAACAAAGTTCATGATGTTATATATATGAAGTGAATACATTCATGTAGAAAAAGAACTATGAGGTTTTGCAGTTTTTATGAAACGTTGATAAAAACACATCTGACATAGACATAGAAGGTATCACACTAATCAATCAAAATTCAAAAAGTAGTAAAATTTACTTTAATATTTTTTTCTTTTATTGACATTTGATTTACGTTAATTATTACAACATCAATGTATTTATAATAGATACCATTAATACATTAATACAGATACCATAAATACTTTAAACACAGATACCATTAATACATTAAATACAGATATCATTAATACATTAAACACAGATACCATTAATACATTTAACACATACCATTAATACATTAATACAGATACCATTTATACATTAAACACAGATACCATTAATACATTAAACACAGATACCATTAATACATTAATACAGATACCATTTATACATTAAATACAGATACCGTTAATACATTAAACACAGATACCATTAATACATTAAACAGATACCATTAATATTTTTGTTCTATCAGAAACTATTCATGCAAATAGAAATCTGTATCTTTGTTTTTACAATTATCAGACATTGTAAAAAAAATAAGGATGGTACAGAATTCCAGGTGCATGACCCCTTTTTAGAGTAACCTTACAGCTAGTTTATTGTTGAAGACTGTATGTTGCCCTGTAGAGGTTTTTGATTATTTTCGTCTTGTGCTGCTGTATTATTGATGATCTCCATTTTTTCATATTTATCTGGCAGGCTAGGATCAAAAGTTTTGGAAACCAAAAAATAATACATTACAGAAAGGGCCTAAATAAAACATCAAAAACAAAGGTCGACTTTGCCTGAGTTAAGTTACAACCTCAGTTTTTGGTACCATTGCATTTTCTATGAAGTGGAAGTAAACTCACAAAATATATTATTTAAAGCAAGCCCCTACCAGAGGTTAGCTTCCTATGGACTAATAAGCTATCAGCAATAGTATCCACCCAATGGTACAAAGCAGGATTACACAATGTCAAATCTCTACAATAAATATATGTCCATTCTAGCTGAAGTATTTGAAATGAAGGTAAAATGTAGCACTTAAGAGCCTTAATTGCTCTATTTTGGTATTGATTTTTTTTCACAGATAAGATATTTATGCAAATAGTTTTTTCTTTGAGTTCCATGATAACATTTTTCTTCTAAGCCCAACCTCAAAACAAAAAGGCTCTCCCCCAAGCAGTCACCAATTTTAACAACTAATGTTATGATTTGTAGATTTTAATTTTTCTGTTTTCCTTTTGTCTGCATCCATTTCTACCGAAAATGTTGAAAAGATCATAACAATCTTCATTGAAAGACAATATCTCAAGTGAAGAATTAATTGACAGTTTTGATGGATAAGGTTCTGCAGACCTTGACACTCTGAACTTTCCCCCTGATAAAATTTTCTATCTACATAGTTATTTGGCATTCGCTTTAATTTTAACCCACAGATCTTTTTTCCGTTGGTTAATAAACCATTCATACTGGACGATAAATCATAAATTAAAATCTACACACACTGAAGATCAATCTTTAAAATCTGCACACTGAAGATCATTCATTAAAATCTACACACACTACAGATCATTCATTAAAATCTACACACACTACAGATCATTCATTAAAATCTACACACTAATTCATTTCAATCTACACACACTGTTGATCATTCATTAATATCTACACACAAAAGACCATTCATTAAAATCTACACTCACTAAATTTCATTCATTATTATTATGAAATATTCATTAAATATCCACACACTGAGGATCATTAATTAAAATCTACACACACTGAGGATCATTTATTAAAATATACATGCACTGATGATTATTCATTTTAATCTACACACTGAGGATCATTCATTAAAATCTTCACACACTGAAGATCATTCATTTAAATCTGCACACACTGATGATCATTCATTTAAATCTACACACACTAAAGAGCATTCATTAAAATCTACACACAATGAAGATCTTTCATTAAAATCTACACATATTGAAGATCATTAATTAAACTGTACAGTAAAAAAGGATCATTCATTAAAATCTACACACTAAGGATTATTCAAAATTAAACATGGTTCCAATTGATTCCTTGGTTTAAGCAAACATATTTTTAACACAAATTTGAATAATGAGTACACAAAGTAAATTAAGTGGAATATTTTAATAAACAGTTAATTGACAATTTAAGTAACATGATATATTTGGCAAATCTTGTCTTGATGATCATTTTTGATTTCACAGTCTATCTGTCTATACTATATTTCAGATAAAAGGCAAAACCGCTAGCATTAGTCAATAATTGTTATTTAAGATCCATTACGCCTATAATATGTCAATTTATGGTTTCAGTAATATTGGCACTTTCATAGATCTTGAATTGCTGGTCAGTTTGTTGTTAACAGTTCCTATCAGCAAAAACATTTCATTTGGTCAAATATTGTCATTAGAGGGTAAATATTCCTATATGAAGTCATCTGATAATTTTGATAGAAATGCAAAATAGGAAAACATTGAATTTTTAGGACTTGTCCCATTCACATTTTCTATTATAGTTTTCAAAATATAAAACAATAGCTTACATGTTATCCTTGTTTCTATATTTTAGCCAGGGCAGCCATGATAGTTGGTTAGTGTGGACAAAGGCACAAATTTTAAATTAGGCATCCTATGAATCATTCAAGCCAAATTTTGATCAACCTTGTCTTCACTTTTAAGAGACGAACAATCTGGTCAACAGGTTTTAGAGACAAAGACAACAAATGTTTAGTGACGGCAAAAGATCACATAAATCTAAGATCACCCCAAAATTGAATAATTTGTATCTTTTTCTTTTTTTTATACCAAAACCTTTTTCATCTTAACATTGTTCTTAGTAATAAGTGGCATTAAGTGCCAGTCTTTGTAAGAATCAGGCAATTTAGAAAAATTTCAAAACATGGCTGAAAAAAACCCACCGACAAATCTATCCTATTTTGAAGTTACCCTCATCCTGAGTTAGAAATGGTAGGTCTTTTGTTTCTGCTGTTCTGGTAATTCGAGAAATCTCTAGATAACTTTTGGTTAGAATGATAGCAAATTACAGAGTTATCTCCCTTTAATTGTTAATTTCTAGTGCATTTCAACCAAATTATATCTTGAGTTACCAGAACAGGAAGAGGAAACGAATGTTATATTCGTGCACCATGATACAATTTGAACATAAATTAATGTCAACTTGAGTGGGTTTTTTTTGTCATGTTTTCACCACTACCTGATTCTTAGGCAGATTGGCACTTAACATATACTTTGTACAGGTGGTTAAAATAGATATGTATTTAATCCACTCTGAATTTGTTAATCAATACATTTTACCTTCACCATGAACAGTTTACCTGATAAATCAACTAATATACTGCAGATATATAATTATTCTAGACAACATGTTATCTTACAATATCATTTTATAATCTCACTATAAACAGTCAACATACACATCTGACATCTGGAATACGATAGTAAACAGAGTTCCATTAGTAAACAAATAATTCAGGAAACTGCATATCATACACAGGTACAACATTATCACTAAATGCTTTCCTATTCCTCTCTGGACTCTCTGGAGGTTTGGATACCATGTCTAAAATCTCACTTAGTTTGTTATGGAAATGATTGGACTGAAACAGTAACGTAATAAACGTTTAAGTAAACAATTAATTTAGGAAACTTGTATGTCTAGCAAACATTGTTCTAGTATTATCTAAACAAAAAACCCAACTCCTTTTACCAGTAATATAAGGAAACATTTTGTAAATTTGTTTTTCTTCAGATGCCATTTCTTGATCATGAAAATGTGTTTGTCCAAGTTTAGTAACATTCAAAGAAGGATTAGTAATGTTATTGCTGTCTAAAAATATTTAGCCCGAGACTGTACGTAGTCTATCTTTCAGTAAAACACAGAAGTTAAAATAAATATTATTTACTTCATAAAAAAGCTCCTGTCTACGTTTCATAAAACTCCTTGAAGGTTAGACAAACTAATTGATGTCTAAAGAAAACTAACTATATACTAAACCTAAAAGTTGATGATGCTGAGAAGAGAATGTAGGAAACCTATATCTGGTTTCTGCAACGTTTGTCGCAGACTTAACAAAAAGCATAAAGGAAATTTGCATTTGTGTCTAACACATTTAATCATGGTTCACATATTGTCACTAAATCAATGAAAAAGACTATGAACTGTCAAGCAGTGCTCATGAATTACACCCAGCATATATCCAGAAGATAAGACTTATACTGGATAACAAAAATGTGATGACAATTTCATATACCAAACTCAAAGGTAAATTCAAAAAGGGGGAAATAATTACTAGCAGTGGCTGAGAAAAATGCAACAGAACTGTATTACAGGCAGACAGATGTAAACCAGTACTTAGTTCCCCATGATTAATAGTCTTCATTTGTGTTATCTTAATATCTCTGTACAATTTGTTTACCTTGGCCTCAGAACGAGCTACTATTTCTTCAAATGGTGCTGTCCTAAAGGTATGTACAATCTCAAGTCGTCTCTTCTCTTCTTCTTCCTTCTTCTCTCTACTGTCTTCAGCTTTACACATAAAGAAAACAACAATTTACACATTGTCCGTTTTTAAATTTAGAAATTATTAAGAAACTAAGGTTTCAACTCCCTCAGGCAAAGTTGACTTTAGATGAATTTGGCTATTTATTTCAGGTATTTTTGTCATATAGCTCTTCAACGGTTTTGGTACTTATACATCCTCGGATTTCAAATGTTTGGCTTTGAGCGTTCCTGATGAAGGTAAATCCAGAAAAGCGCTTCGGACGCATGAAATAATTAAACGTGTTGCTTTCAATTTTTTACACAGGGCTTAGACAGACCTTAATGAATAGGTTTGTCAAAACAATAAACATGATAATATCACCAAACAAATATAACTTACAAAAAAAATAAGATGAATAAATTTAATGCATTGCCAATATTGATATAGATCATTTTCCCGGGCACAGCCCAAGTTAATTTTCACCAAATTTGTTATTTCTTTAATAGTTTTCATAAACACACCGCTAACATCTTTACATTGTATAAGTTCCAATGCTTCCTTGACCCAAACATATGCAAATATGTCCTCATCTGAAAATGCATTGTTACCTTTCAGTTAAAGGAGTAATTAAACTTTTTTTAACTGCTGTTAAACATTCAATTAAGACCAACTTTTTAAAATTTCCTGTCCTGGTGAAAATCTAGCATTTAAACAATAAAATTCCCATAGCACTAGTAAATGAAATATGGGAGAAAACAAGTCAGATGCTGAAATCCTTGTCTGTTTGCCGACACTGGCTGGTATACATAAATCCTGGGTTAAATATTTAGATGTGCCCCGTTAAAAAAATAAAGTATTTAACTGTGTTCTTTTGTTACCTGTAGTAAGGCACTCCTTTTGTGCAGTCAGCACTTATTTGATGTACTATAAGTATACCACATGTGCTATAATGTGTCAGAATAAGAGGCTATCAGAGTGACAGCAAACCGGATTTCCTGCAGAGGTCGAACCCTGAATAGTTGAGCAAGTATGGACACTACATTTAAGCTTAAAACAGCTCTGAATTTGGATTGTTTGAATATTTGACACAGCATAGGTTTGTGACACAAAATGAATGTGGTCAAAGAACTGAAAAATTTGAAATTGGACATTTACCTATTATAGTCCAATATCCAAAATCTAAGCACATTGTTAGAATCAGCATATCAAAGAACCCCAATAATTCAATTTTTTATGAAATCAAACAAAAGTTTAATTTAGGACCCTTTGGACCTCAATGTGGACCAATTTGATAAAGGAGCCCAAAATCCAAAATCTCTAAATACATGGTTAGATTCAGTATTTCAAAGAACCCCATAAATTCAATTTTTGTTGAAATCAAACAAAGTTTAATTTTGGACCCTGATTTGGACTGACTTGAAAACTTGGCCCAAAAATCCAATATTTAAATACAGGTTTAGATTCAGCATTTGAAAGAACCCTATATATATTTAATTTATGTTGAAATGAAACACAGTTTAACTTTATCCATATACTTATTAATTTTCTGTTCAAAGGGAAATAACTCAAACTGAATAAATGATATACAAATAGTTCTCTAAAATTAGATATGATTTAACCACTAAAAAATAGTTCTCTAAAATTAGATATGATGTTATATCTATTTTCAAATTATAATCAATAAAATTCGATATGATTTAACCACTAAAACATTGTTAGAATCAGCATATCAAAGAACCCCAAGAATTCAATTTTTGATGAAATTAAACAAAATTTTTATTTAGGACCCTTTGGACCTAAATGTGGTATAATCTAATTAATAATGAAAATAAATACAGGTTTAGATTCAGCATTTCAAAGAACCCTATATATATTCAATTTTGGTTGAAATCAAATACAATACAACTTGAAAACTGGGCCCAAAATCAGAAATCTAAATATATGTTTATTAATAGACAATATAAGCTTAGTTTTTAAAGGAGTTCACCTCATCAAAATATATATATATATATATATATATATATATATATAGCATTCAGAAAATGAGTTTATACAGAAAAACAAACAAACCTACCACAAAATTCTTCAAACAATTTACCAAAGAAAAGAAAAAAATAATCCAAAATGTCATTTATCATTAATACAATGTCTTTTAAATATCTATAAAACTTATCTGTAAGTGTAATCAAACTTTATATATATAATTAACCATTTCTTTTCAAAGGGAAATAACTCAATCACATAATAAGTATCACTTTTGGCTACTGGAAAGGGCCCATAACTCAACAACGAGAAAAGCTAAAGTCGTGAAAATTGAACTGAACCTTCATTTAGTCACAGGGAACAACATATCTAAATTTGAATATGTTAGGGACACTGTTTGGCAGCCGCCAGCCCGGCGTACATCCCCAAATCAATAACCGATTTTTCCTTCGAAAATCCGGTTAAAAATCAATTTTCAGAATAAATTCTTATACAAAGAGTTAACCCAGTGCTTGTTAATCAACTCATCATAGATACCAGGCTTCAAATTTGTATGCCAGACATGCCTTTCATCTGTTATCTCCTTTTAATATGCTGTAGGTTTCCTACTATGTCATCAAATATTGCAGTCATTTTTAACCAGGCTTAAAAATGTTTACGCTAGATGCGCATTTTGTCTACAAAAGACTCATCAGTGAAGGTTGACTAAAAATACTCAGAAGTCAAAAAAAGTACTAAGTTGAGGAGAATTGACGACCCAAAATTCCAATAGGTTTCAGCAAATAGAGTCAATACAAAGAGAGATATTAACAAATAACCTACAAGTTAACTTACCCAACATTTTCTTTAATGACTCAACAGTAATTTCCTCTTTCACAGATTTCTGCAAAAATAACAATAAAGTACATTTTCATAGCCAAGAGGTAATCCCTTCTTCTAATTGGAATAAAGGCTCACAAGAGCTGAATAACTCACCTGTTAAAAATACATCTTCTATTGCTGACCATTCATTTTCCTGTTTACATATTTATTCAAATTTTCAAAACAATAAACAAAAACTTGAAAACTGCTAACAAATTATTATTGAAAGGCAAAATTCCTTTAAGGAGTCATCCAATATTACCCCTACCCTAGACACCATTGGTAAAGTTTCAGCATTCTCTACCTCAGGCTGTATAGATCCTGTGTTACACTTACCCTAGACACCATTGGTGACGTTTCAGCACTCTCTACCTCAAGCTGTATAGATCCTTTGTTACACTTACCCTAGACACCATCGGTGACATTTCAGTACTCTCTACCTCAAGCTGTATAGATCCTTTGTTACACTTAACCTAGACACCATAGGTAAAGTTTCAGCATTCTCTACCTCAGGCTGTATAGATCCTGTGTAATACTTACCCTAGACACCATTGGTGACGTTTCAGCATTCTCTACCTCAAGCTGTATAGATCCTTTGTTACACTAACCCTAGACACCAGGAGTAAAATTTCAGCAATCTCTACCTCAAGCTGTATAGATCCTGTGTTACACTTACCCTAGACACCATTGGTGACGTTTCAACACTCTCTACCTCAAGCTGTATTGATCCTATGTAACACTTACCCTAGACACCCTTGGTGAAGTTCGAGCACTCTTTTTCACTAGCTGTTAAGATCCTTTGTTACACTTACCCTAGACACCATTGGTAAAGTTTCAGCACTCTCTTATTACCGTATATCGGGGTTTTTTCGCGTCGGCTTTTTTCGCGATTTCATGACAAAAATGTGCAGGTTAAATTTTCACTGTGTATAATTTTCGCTGAATGGGAAAATACACGCGAAAATATAACTGTTTAGCATTGTTAAGATGTGAAAAACACACATTTGTTGGCCGACAGATAATCGATCACAAATAAATACAAACTAAATTACACAATTTAGAGAACTTTTAAGGAACGTAAATTATGAACATTGGGGCATGCTACAAATAGAAATCTGATCAATACAGATATACAAATAACCGTGTAAAAGTGATTTATTTTTATTCTAATTTTTATTGTTTGGGTTATGACACCTATCAATACAATAGCTCGTCACTAATTAACATCTGATTGCTGTGTTTTAAAAAGGTGTGACACGTATGTTAAGCCAATTTAATTATCATGAAAACAGAGATTGTAATTAAGTATACTCATTCTTGTGATCTGTTGAACAACACAAAAGACTCCATAATTAGTAGTAAATTGTATACAACTTTCAAATTTTGATAAATCTTGGAATATGCAGGGAAATTTACCCAGGGTAAAATTTTCGCATTTCTTTAGCTACCGCAAACAAAGCGAAAATTAAACACAAGCGGAAAAAACCGATATACGGTACTAGCTGTATAAATCCTATGTTACACTTACCCTAGACACCATCAGTAACATTTCAGCACTCTCTACCTCAAGCTGTATAGATCCTATGTAACACTTACCCTAGACACCCTTGGTGAAGTTTCAACACTCTCTTCCTAAAGCTGTATAAATCCTATGTTACACTTACCTTGGACACCATCGGTGACATTTCAGTACTCTCTACCCCAAGCTGTATAGATCCTATGTAACACTTACCCTAGACACCCTTGGTGAAGTTTCAACAATCTCTACCTCAAGCTGTATGAATCCTATGTTACACTTACCCTATACACCATTGTTGACGTTGCAGCACTCTCTACCTCAAGCTGTATAGATCCTATGTAACACTTACCCTAGACAACATTGGTGAAGTTTCAGCACTCTCTAGCTCAAGCTGTATAGATCCTTTGTAACACTTACACAGACACCATTGGTGAAGTTTCAGCAATCTCTACCTCAAGCTGCATAGATCCAATGTAACACTTACCCTAGACACCATTGGTGAAGTTTCAGCACTCTCTACCTCAAACTGTATAGATCCTATTACACTTACCCTAGACACCATTGGTGACGTTTCAGCACTCTCTACCTCAAACTGTATAGATCCAATGTAACACTTACCCTAGACACCATTGGTGAAGTTTCAGCACTCTCTACCTCAAACTGTATAGATCCAATGTAACACTTACCCTAGTCACCATTGGTGAAGTTTCAGCACTCTCTACCTCAAACTGTATAGATCCAATGTTACACTTATCCTACACACCATTGGTGAAGTTTCAACACTCTCTACCTCAAGCTGTATAGATCCTATATTACAGTTACCCAAGACACCATTTGTGAAGTTTCAGCACTCTCTACAGAAACTGTGTAGATGCTATATTACACTTACCCTAGACAACATTGGTGATAGTTCAGCACTCTCTACTTCAAGCTGTTTAGATCATATGTTACACTTACCCTAGACATCATTAGTGAAATTTCAGCACTCTCTACCTAAAGCTGCATAGATCCAATGTAACACTTACCATGGACACCATTGGTGAAGTTTCAACACTCTCAACCACAAACTGTATAGATCCTATGTAACACTTACCCTAGACACCCTTGGTGAAGTTTCAGCACTCTCTAGCTCAAGCTGTATAGATCCAATGTAACACTTACCCTAGACACCCTTGGTGAAGTTTTAGTACTCTCTACCTCAAACTGTATAGATCCTATATTACAGTTACTCTAGACACCATTTGTGAAGTTTCAGCACTCTCTACAGAAACTGTGTAGATGCTATGTTACACTTACCCTAGACAACATTGGTGAAGTTTCTACACTCTCTACCTCAAACTGTATAGATCCTATGTTACACTTACCCTGGACACCATTGGTGAAGTTTCAGCACTCTCTACCTCAAGCTGTATAGATCCTATGTCACTGGCACTGCCACTTGTACCCACATCTATAATAAAGCAACAAAAAAAACTAGCATACGCCAACAATTTCTTTTAAAACAGGTAAAACTACTTTTTATAGTCCTTAAAACTCATATAAAAAGTGAGTGTTTTAATCTCAAAAGAACTAGAATAATTTCCCTGTATATCCTCACTCAGCAATGAGCAGAAGCCCTGCAATAATATTTATGATCTGTTGATCTCAAATTTCCCGAGAACTGTAAAATAATCAGCTTTTCAGACAAGATAACAAAACAATAAGAAAACTCTAAAAAGTCCTTTGTTCACTAAATATTTTCTGAAATAATAAACTTTGACAGTATACATGATTGAAAAATTGAGAAGTTTTAAATACTTTGATCTATTTTGCTTACAAAAAGATACTTCAATATTTAATTAAATGCCTATAACTATTTTAACTTCCACCTGGTTAAAAATGAAAATACAAATAACCAGCTATATACATCAATGAGATAATACATGCTATATATATGTGTCAATCAATTGTACCAAGGTATATGCATGCTGATATAGCAGTGATTAATGCCAGTTAGTTAAAGGAATATTAGGTAAATGTTTTGAAAGGACAGAGTAATCTTTTATCTTAAATGTTCTGCATTCATTTGGATAATATTGAGTTTTCAATAAAACTAGAGGCTCTCAAGAGCCTGTGTCGCTCACCTGACTCTACTTTGGTTTTAGAAAACATGTAAAGATAGATAAAAATCATAACAGATACCCAAATAATGATTGAGGCCAAATTTTGATTAATATTGGTCCCGTTATTTAATAAAATATCCTGGTGGCCATCTTGAACAGTAAATCGGCAACAAAGTAGCAACACTTGGTCAGCACTTCATAAGGAACATTCATGCCATGTTTGGATTCATTCCATTCAGTGGTACTCTAAAAGAAGACATTTGTATGTATTTCCCATAGGGTCCTATGTTAAACTAAGCCCCCCCCCCCCTAGCAGCCATCTTGGATGATGGATCGACTGCAAAGTAACAACACTTGGTCAGCAACTCATAAGGAACATTCATGCCATGTTTGGTTCAATTCCATTCAGTGGTTCTCTAAAAGAAGACAATTGTATGTATTTCCCATAGGGTCCTATGTTAAACTAAGTCCCCCGCTGTCGGCCATCTTGGATGATGGATCGGCTGCAAAGTAACAACACTTGGTCAACATCTCATAAGGAACATTCATGCCATGTTTGGTTCCATTCCATTTATTGGTTCTCTAAAAGAAGACATTTTTATGTATTTCCCAAAGGGTCCTATGTAAAACTAAGTCCCCCGCTGGGGGCCATCTTGGATGATGGATCGGCTACAAAGTAACAACACTTGGTCAGCATCTCATAAGGAAGATTCATGCCATGTTTGGTTTCATTCCATTCAGTGGTTCACTAAAAGAAGACATTTGTATGTATTTCCCATAGGGTCCTATGTTCAACTAAGTCCCCCACTGGCGGCCATCTTGGATGATGGATCGGCTACAAAGTAACAACACTTGGTCAGAACCTCATAAGGAACATTCATGCCATGTTTGGTTTTATTCCATTCAGTGGTTCTCTAAAAGAAGACATTTGTATGTATTTCCCATAGGGTCCTATGTTAAACTAAGTCCCCCGCTGGCGGCCATCTTGGATGATGGACCGACTGCAAAGTAACAACACTTGGTCAGCATCTCATAAGAAACATTCATGCCATGTTTGGTTCCATTCCATTCAGTGGTTCTCTAAAAGAAGACATTTTTATGTATTTCCCATAGGGTCCTATGTTAAACTAAGTCCCCCGCTGGCGGCCATCTTGGATGATGGATCGGCTACAAAGTAACAACACTTAGTCAGCACCTCATAAGGAACATTCATGCCATGTTTGGTTTCATTCCATTCAGTGGTTCTCTAAAAGAAGACATTTGTATGTATTTCCCATAGGGTCCTATGTTAAACTAAGTTCCCCAATGGCGGCCATCTTGGATGATGGATCGGCTACAAAGTAACAACACATGGTCAACACCTCATAAGGAACATTCAAGACATGTTTGGTTTTATTCCATTCAGTGGTTCTCTAAAAGAAGTCATTTGTATGCATTTCCCATAGGGTCCTATGTTAAACTAAGTCCCCCGCTGGCGGCCATCTTGGATGATGGATCGGCTACAAAGTAACAACACTTGGTGAGCACCTCATAAGGAACATTCATGCCATGTTTGGTTTTATTCCATTCAGTGGTTCTCTAAAAGAAGTCATTTGTATGCATTTCCCATAGGGTCCTATGTTAAACTAAGTCCCCCGCTGGCGGCCATCTTGGATGATGGATCGGCTACAAAGTAACAACAATTGGTCAGCACCTCATAAGGAACATTCATGCCATGTTTGGTTTCATTCCATTCAGTGGTTCTCTAAAAGAAGTCATTTGTATGCATTTCCCATAGGGTCCTATGTTAAACTAAGTCCCCCGCTGGCGGCCATCTTGGATGATGGATCGGCTACAAAGTAACAACACTTGGTCAGCACCTCATAAGGAACATTCATGCCATGTTTGGTTTTATTCCATTCAGTGGTTCTCTAAAAGAAGTCATTTGTATGCATTTCCCATAGGGTCCTATGTTAAACTAAGTCCCCCGCTGGCGGCCATCTTGGATGATGGATCGGCTACAAAGTAACAACACTTGGTCAGCACCTCATAAGGAACATTCATGCCATGTTTGGTTTCATTCCATTCAGTGGTTCTCTAGAAGAAGTTCAAAATGTAAAAAGTTAACGCCGACGACGGACGACGCTGGACGACGCCGGACGCCGGACGACGGACGCCAAGTGATGAGAAAAGCTCACTTGGCCCTTCGGGCCAGGTGAGCTAAAAAAGTAATAGCTTAATCAAAATGACAATGTAGAGCTAACCATTTTTTATGTCAATATGCACACCAAATTCTAAAATGGCCTTCTAAATAGTCCTTTCATAATAACAAGTGAGATGTTTAGCTAGCTATAAAACCAAATTTAATCCACCCTTTTCTACATAAGAAAATGCCTGTATCAAGTCAAGAATATGACAGTTGTTATCCATTCGTTTGATGTGTTTGAGCTTTTGATTTTGCCATTTGACAACAGACTTTCCGTTTTGAATTTTCCTCGGAGTTCGGTATTTTTGTTATTTTACTTTTCACTCAATTATGTTAAAAGTGACAAAAATAATAAGATCTCACCACATTCAGATAAAAAATACTTTTAATTCATTTGTATAGTTTCTTTAAATTAAGATCTAAGACAACACAAGTAGAAACAATAAAATGTCTCAGATCCTCACCTCACTCAGTTTATATCTGAATAACAAAGACCTAAGACAACAAGAGCAGACACACTGAAATGTCTCAACTCCAAGCTTAGCTCACTCAGTTTATACCTAAATAATAAAGATCTAAGACATCAAGAGCAGACAATCTGAAATGTCTCACCTTCTAGCTTAGCTCACTCAGTTTATACCTAAATAATAAAGATCTAAGACAACAAGAGTAGACACTCTGAAATGTCTCACCTTCTAGCTTAGCTCACTCAGTTTATACATGAATAATAAAGATCTTAGGCAAAAATAGTAGACACACTGAAATGTCTCACCTCCTCAACTCATTCCGTTTATACCTGAATAATAAAAATACAAGACAACAAGAGTAGACACTCTGAAATGTCTCAACCCTCAACTTACTCAGTTTATACATGAATAATAAAGATACAAGGCAACAAGAGTAGACACTCTGAAATGTCTCAATCCTCAACTTACTCAGTTTATACCTGAATAATAAAAATACAAGACACCAAGAGTAGACACTCTGAAATGTCTCAACTCTCAACTTACTCAGTTTATATCTGAATAATAAAGATACAAGGCAACAAGAGTAGACACTCTGAAATGTCTCAATCTTCAACTTACTCAGTTTATACATTAATAATAAAGATACAAGGCAACAAGAGTAGACACATTGAAATGTCTCAACCCTCAACTTACTCAGTTTATACCTGAATAATAAAGATACAAGGCAACAAGAATAGACACACTGAAATGTCTCAACCCTCAACTTACTCAGTTTATACCTTAATAATAAAGATACAAGGCAACAAGAGTAGACACACCGAAATGTCTCAACCCTCAACTTACTCAGTTTATACCTGAATAATCAAGATACAAGACAACAAGAGTAGACACACTGAAATGTCTCAACCCTCAACTTACTCAGTTTATACCTTAATAATAAAGATACAAGGCAACAAGAGTAGACACTCTGAAATGTCTCAACCCTCAACTTATTCAGTTTATACCTGAATAATAAAGATACAAGACAACAAGAGATGACACACGGAAATGTCTCAACCCTCAACTTATTCAGTTTATACCTGAATAATAAAGATACAAGGCAACAAGAGTAGACACATTGAAATGTCTCACCTCCTAGCTTAATTCACTCAGTTACTACCTAAATACTAAAGCTCTAAGGCAACAAGAGTAGAAACACTGAAAGTCTCACCTCCTAGCTTAGCTCCTTCAGTTTATACCTGAATAATAAAGATCTAAGGTAACAAGTAGACATACTGAAATGTCTCACCTACTAGCTCAACTCACTCAGTTTATACCTGAATAATAAAAATCTAAGATAACAAGAGCAGACACACTGAAATGTCTCACCTCCTAGCTTAGTTCACTCAGTTTATACCTAAAAAATAAAGATCTAAGGAAACTTACTGAAGGTATAATGAATTTAGACAACAAGATTAGACACACTGAAATGTTTCATATCTTTTACTAACTCAATTAATACATGTACAAGAATAACAAAGATCTAAGGCAACAAGAGTAGACATACTGAAATGTCTCACCTCCTCAACTCATTCAGTTTATACCTGAATAATAAAAATCTAAGACAACAAGAGGTAACTATATCTTACAAATAGATAATACCATCACTATCTTAATAACATCTATATTTCTCAACAAATTTCATTAAAAGTTTACACATGGATCTTTATCCATCATCAAAAAGTTTACACACGGATCTTTATCCATCATCTAAAAGTTAACACATGGATCTTTATCCATCATCTAAAAGTTCACACACAGATCTTTATCCATCATCTAAAAGTTTACACATGGATCTTTATCCATCATGTAAAAGTTAACACACGGATCTTTATCCATTATCTAAAAATTCACACATGGATCTTTATCCATCATCTAAAAGTTATAGTGCTCTATTCATTGTTTTTTGCCTAGTGGATTTGTTTGTGGATAAGGGAATTCAAACTGTTTCTAACTACAACAAAATCAGTCATGTAAGTGAAGTTTGTTAAATTTGTTAAGAAAGAAACGCAAAACAAATATAATGGTTTACCTTCCTCACCTAGAACAAAGTATCAATCTAGCTAATTAACTTTACATGGTTGTCATAGCAAATACATGTAGTTCAATAATAACTTCTAATAAAACACAACAATCATGCTGTTATAAAACAAATTACAGTAAAATCAGTGAAACCTCCACCTCCAACAGACATGCACCTTCACACACAATATTATCTATAATTTACTTGCTAATGATCTTGGACATTGTATATAATATGTTTATTTCTATATACAATTGTTAACTAAATAAAGAACAATATAAATACGAGTTTTTTCAATGAATTAATCATTCTTAGTATGTTATGTTCATTTCTATTCCTATCACAGTGTTGAATAAGACTAATGAAAGCCCTTGGACAAACTCTTGAAATTGCTAAATTTGTAGCTCTATCTGAATGTAAAACCAAATCTGTCAGGCAAATTAATTTCTATTAGTATATTAAATAGAGCATCTTCAAAGTCACTAAAGTTTCTAAGCATCTACCTAAAGTACCAAACACTACAAACCAGTAAAAGTCTGAAATGGCCTATATCTGTACTCGACTGTACTGATTTTTACTCGACCAGTCTGAATTGGTCTGAATTTTACTTAATATTACTCGACCCAGTCTTAACCATACTCGACTGTACTGATTTGTACTTGACCCTTATCTTTGCTATTGAAAATAGTCTCAACTATTACTCGACCAGTCTGAAACAGTCTTAACCCAGTCTGGACCAGTACTCGACCAGCTCTCGACCTATTTTTTCAGTCTGAACCATACTCGACCAAAGGTCTGAACAATACTCGACCAGTCTGAACCATACTTGACCAAATAACCTCTTCTTTATAATTTTGATTTTTTAAATAACTTTCTCTTTAACTCACATGACAACAGCCACAATTAAATAAAGATATATATAAAAACATTTTTTTACATTCTTTAATAATACATGATCCTCTTAGATTTGGCAAATCGAGATAGTTAAATTATCTAATTTTAAAGTCTGAGTCTTGTTAAATAAAAGACTTTTTTTACCTGACAACCACACCTATACTGAGGGTAATAAAACCTTATTAAAAATAAGGTGCTTTTTGTTTGGCATGCGTTTTTTTTTAAAACAAAACTTGATTTTCCTAAATTCCTAAATAAAAGCGAATGTAGGACAGAAAGTCACAGGACAAAAAGTCACAATTCAGTTTTGAGATTATTTTTCTTTGAACAATAAAACACTTATTTTTAAAAAAACATTTTTGTATTTTTCTTGAAACAATATCAATAATGATCAAATAATTGTTAAGAAAACAAAATGTTACAATGTCTTGGTACTTAAATGGCTTCATGGTTCTAAGAAATATATCCTTTGCATGATTAAAATTCTATAAATCTTTATTTATCAAATTAAATCTTATGAACAATTTTCTAAACTGTAAAATGAATATGTGTAATAAAAAGTAAATATTTCAAGATCTTTCTCATAAATATTCAAACAATTGTATACAAATTATTTGTGACTTTTTGTCCTATCAAATTTGTGACTTTCTGTCCTGTGACTTTCTGTACTTGGGTTTCATGGTTACATACAATAGTTATATAACTATCTTTTTAATGAGCGCGAGGTAACAACAGCCAACAAAATCACTGACATTGTTTAACCTTATATCAGAAATATATCTATTCCTATTTATAATTTGGGATATATATATATATTTTAAAAGGGATAAAAAAATTAAAGAAAGGAATAAAATTTTTCTTCTGATTAGGGGTAAACTATAAAGTAATACATCCTGCTTGACCCACACTGATTAAAAAGATCACACCTGGTCAGAGAGTAATAAATTTTAAATAACATCCATTGAAAATTACAACATCCTGTAAAACTTAAATAACAAGGCTTTTTGAATTCACTAGATAAGTAATACACGAGTTTAAGAAATATAGGGTTTTCTTTTTACCTGTAAAACACCTGTGTTGAGGTAATTAAACCATTAAACCTTATTAAACTGCTTCTTGTATGCCATGTCTTTAATTTTGACAAAACGTATTTAAATTTAATTAAAATAAATTTCTACTGCAACTTTGGAATACATATCCTTTTTTAAAAGGTTATCATGCAGGATTGCTATGTAAGTTTTATTATTATTATTATATTAAATTTTTGGTTTTACAAAACAAAGGTGTCAATTTTAACATTTATTAAGTTCCTTTATATACTATTTTATATTTATTTTGATAAAAAAAAAATTGAATAACATTTAAGATATTTGAATAATGGTTGAAAGTTCTAGTATTTTTGATGTGCATAAATCAATGTGAACATGATATCATGTATATAAAAATTCATTTAACGAACTTAATTTATTACATGATATTTTTTTAATCCAACCAGAAATTTGATCACCTTGTTTTATTTCAATTTTAAATGTGATATACATTTTATATATATATATATATGAATAACAGTTCCTAAATTAATGAAAAAATAATATAGATAGATACAAAAAATAGGTCTAGGTTGGTTAAGACTTGGTCGAGTATGGTTCAGACTAGGTCGAGTATGGTTCAGACTAGGTCGAGCATGGTTCAGACTTGGTCGAGAATGGTTAAGACTATGTCGAGTATGGTTCAGACTCGTATAAAATGGTTAAGTACTGGTCGAGTACAAGTTCAGACTGTTTAGTATGGTTCAGACTACAGTCGAGTAATATCAAGTAAATTTCAGACCAATTCAGACTGGTCGAGTAAAAATCAGTTCAGTCGAGTACAAATATAGGCCATTTCAGACTTTTACTGGTTTGTAGTGAAAGTATTACTATCCATGATCCGAAAAAAACATCAAAATACCTACCCATTGCACTGAATGGTTTCTGTGCCAAAGAGACATTAAGACGTGAAGCATCTTGTCCACATTCAACCAATAACTCCTGTAACATGACCTGATCAAACAACCATTCATCTCTCATTGTGTCACTTGATGGGTAGCTGTAACAAATACAAAGCATTGTGTCACTGCATGGCTAACTATAACAAATACATATCATTGTGTCATTGGATGGGTAGCTTTAACAAATACATATCATTGTGTCACTGGATGGGTAGCTGTAACAAATACAAAGCATTGTGTCACTGGATGGGTAGCTGTAACAAATACAAAGCATTGTGTCACTGGATGGGTAGCTGTAACAAATACATATCATTGTGTCACTGGATGGGTAGCTTTAACAAATACATATCATTATGTCACTGGATGGGTAGCTTTAACAAATACATATCATTATGTCACTGGATGGGTAGCTTTAACAAATACATATCATTATGTCACTGGATGGGTAGCTTTTACAAATACATATCATTATGTCACTGGATGGGTAGCTTTAACAAATACTGACTCAGTAAAAAAGTAGGAACAATAGATCCAAATCATTTATTAAAAAGACAGGTATATACAAATAAGATTCAAATCATTTAATTAAAATTTATATATATCATTGTGTCACAGGATTAGCATGATTAGCAGCTATTCAAATTTTAATCAAAAAACTAAATTGGAGTTGCATAATAGCATTATTTGTCATTATGAAAAAGTTTTGATACATTGTATGAAGCACAGGCAGGAAGTTTAGGAGTTAGTATGCGTATATGACATTGATCATGTCCATGGAATCCAAAAGTGAATCCCAGAAATCATTCAGATGAAGAAATGAAATAGAAGGTACAAAAGAATATCATGTGCGTAAGATTCAGTGAAAGATACTTCTGTCAAGCCGATCAAGAGGAGTTGCTGATACGAAAGAAGGACAGAATAACAAATGATCTGACAAGAAGACATATAGATCATTATATACTGCCTACTTAAGACAGCAGAAGTTATGGAAAGAAATGACAAGCATACCCCAACTCTTAAAGGAAAGTATAGGAAAACAGGAAGTTGGTGTCTGACAGACCCTATAACTTCTCAAATGTTAATAGAACAGGAAGTAGGTGTCTGACAGAGCCTATAACTTCTCAAATGTTAATAGAACAGGAAGTAGGTGTCTGACAGAGCCTATAACTTCTCAAATGTTAATAGAACAGGAAGTAGGTGTCTGACAGACCCTATAACTTCTCAAATGTTAATAGAACTTACACCCCAGTTCTATTGTTATACTTCATAGTTTCTATTTCTGAAACAAGGTTAAATTGAATAGATCTATTGTTACGAATAACAATGGATTTTGACCACAGGGTGTGACGAGCGGGGTTTCTGGAAACCCCTGCTTCTACATCCCGCAAACAAAGCCCATTGTTATTCGTAACAATAGAAATTGATTATGATTATAAGAAATTACTAATAGTGTTCACTACAAATTGTTTCATGATATTAAAAAAAACACACATTTTAGGAAATTCCAATAAGCATCTATATGGAATACAAAACTAATCCTTTAACTTCTTTTTTGCTTGAAGGTATTTTTTTTATCCCAGTCATATGTCTCTATTCTAAAGCATTGATCTTTAAAAAAAATTGGGATTCTAACTCCCGGACACCCCTCCCCTGGTTACCTAGTGGCCGATCCGGGGTTGGGGGTTCCGCGGGTTGGACCCGACTTTTATTTAAAAGATCAATGCATTTGAATGGTTGGACCCCCCCCTTTTTTCTCGAGTTGGGAACCCCCGGCTGGATCAGCCCCTGATTGCCCCTCAAAAAAGGGAGTTCCTCAATTTTAAATATTGTATGTTTAGCGTGTCTTGTAGTCGGGTTTCTAATGCAGACACACCTATTCCTTAATATTTTCGAATATGAATGTTTGTTTATTCTCGAGATGAGGGAGGGGGCTTTTGTTTTTGATAAAATCGTAAGATATAAAATACAGTTATGATTACCTTTATTAGACTGATACAGGTAAGTACTTTGGGTTATAATATTGCCTTTATCTTTAGTCTCTTCTACCAAATCCAACGCTTGCCACAAAATGTCGTCCGTCTTATACCCGTCCATATTGACAACTGTATACCAGGAGCATGGTGTATTTTTGTGTTTGTAATAAGAATACACGAAACAGTCAACCTTGACCTGCTGATCCATATTAGCACTTGGATTTAACGGGAATATGCAAAACAACTTGACATTTGTAAAATATACTCACTTGTCAAAGTTTGAACGAAGATAACCAAAGAAAGGTTACTAGTTGGGTTTCATGTAACAAAAAAAAATTCTGATATATCATTGTTTGATATTATCAATAAATATGCTATCGTTTTTTGTTTTTTTTTATTTAATAATCAATGTTAACAAATATAGGGTTTAGAATGGGGTGTAAGTTAGTTATACAACTCGGGATACGGTGTGTCTGGATTAGAAACCCCTCCGGCCTCCGGCCGACGGGGTTTCTTATCCAGACACACCTATCCCTCGGTGTATAACTATTACAGAAAGTAGGTGTCTGACAGACCTTATAACTTCTCAAATGTTAATAGAACAGAAAGCAGGTGTCTGACAGACCCTATAACTTCTCAAATGTTTATAGAACAGGAAGTCGGTGTCTGACAGACCCTATAACTTCTCAAATGTTAACAGAACAGGAAGTAGGTGTCTGACAGACCCTATAACTTCTCAAATGTTAATAGAACAGAAAGTAGGTGTCTGACAGACCCTATAACTTCTCAAATGTTAATAGAACAGGAAGTAGGTGTCTGACAGACCCTTTAACTTCTCAAATGTTAATAGAACAGGAAGTAGGTGTCTGACAGACCCTTTAACTTCTCAAATGTTAATAGAACAGGAAGTAGGTGTCTGACAGACCCTTTAACTTCTCAAATGTTAATAGAACAGGAAGTAGGTGTCTGACAGACCCTATAACTTCTCAAATGTTAGAAGTCATTCTATGAAGAAAATTTGTTTAGTAGTACTTGAGAAAAGTGTGATGAAAAACATTTGTGTTCATACAACATACTGAAAAACAAGTATCAGCAAACACGAAGTAGATGTCTGATAAACTTGAAAATTGCTCCCACCGCATAATCCATCACTGTCAGACTGCCGTCCAATTTTGAAGGTATTCTGTTTTTTTCTTTTTATAATTACTGAGAAAAGTGTGGGGAAGATAATGAACAGATGGACAACATCCCCCACTCATAGAGCTCGAGAGGAGGCATACAGATGGACAGCATCCCCCACTCCTAGAGCTCGAGAGGAGGCATAAAAAGGAGACATCAAAACATGAGAATCTTAGAAAGTAAGTTTTGGCATGAATATATGCAAGTATAATCTGTCCATTAAATTTATTCAATTACATTACTCTGAAGAATGTTCATTTTTACTTAATATAAAGCACATGTGAATAATTTTACAAATGATCATGTGCATATTTGAAAATTAAACTTGTATATTCAATGTTTCCCAAGTGATTTCTGATAACACTATTTGAAGAATGATAATAAAAGTACAAGCTTATTCCCTTGATAGCCTTGGAATGAGGATAAAAGTACAAACCTATTCCTTTGAGAGCCTTGAAATGATGATAAAAATACAAACTTATTCCCTTGAGAGCCTTGGAATGAGGATAAAAGTACAAATGTATTCCCTTGAGAGCCTTGGAATGAGGATAAAAGTACAAACTTATTCCCTTGAAAGCCTTGGAATGATGATAAAAAAAACCTTGAGAGCCTTGGAACGAGGATAAAAAGAACAAGCTTACTTTCTTGAAAGCCTTGGAATGATGATAAAAATACAAACTTATTCCCTTGAAGGCCTTGGAATAATGATTAAGTACAAACTTAATCTCTTGAGAGCCTTGGAATGATAATAAATGTACAAACTTATTCCTTTGAGAATCTTGGAATGTGAATAAACGTACAAACTTTTCCCTTGAGAGCCTTGAAATGAGGATAAAAGTACAAACTTGTCCCCTTGAAAGCCTTGGAATGATAATAAAAGTACAAACTTATTCCCTTGAGAGTCTTGGAATGGGGATAAACGTACAAACTTTTCCCTTGAGAGCCTTGGAATGAGGATAAACGTATAAACTTTTCCCTTGAGAGCCTTGGAATGAGGATAAAAGTACAAACTTATTCCCTTGAAAGCCTTGGAATGATGATAAAAGTACAAACTTATTCCCGTGAGAGCCTTGGAATAATGATAAACGTACAAACTTATTCCCTTGAGAGTCTTGGAATGAGGATAAAAGTACAAACTTATTCCCTTGAGAGCCTTGGAATGATGATAAAAGTACAAACTTATTCCCTTGAGAGTCTTGGAATGAGGATAAAAGTACAAACTTATTTTCTTGAGAGCCTTGGAATGAGGATAAAAGTACAAACTTATTCCCTTGAGAGCCTTGGAATAATGATTAAGTACAAACTCATTCTCTTGAGAGCCTTGGAATGATGATAAACAAACAAACTTATTCCCTTGAGAGTCTTGGAATGAGGATAAAAGTACAAACTTATTCCCTTAAAAGCCTTGGAATGATTATAAAAGTACAAACTTATTCCCTTGAGAGTCTTGGAATGAGGATAAACGTACAAACTTTTCCCTTGAGAGCCTTGGAATGAGGATAAAAGTACAAACTTATTCCCTTGAAAGCCTTGGAATGATTATAAAAGTACAAACTTATTCCCTTGAGAGTCTTGGAATGAGGATAAACGTACAAACTTTTCCCTTGAGAGCCTTGGAATGAGGATAAAAGTACAAACTTATTCCCATGAAAGCCTTGGAATGATTATAAAAGTACAAAATTATTCCCTTGAGAGCCTTGGAATGATGATAAAGTACATACTCATTCTCTTGAAAGCTTTGGAATGATGATAAACGTACAAACTTATTCCCTTGAGAGTCTTGGAATGATTATAAAAGTACAAACTTATTCCCTTGAGAGTCTTGGAATGAGGATAAACGTACAAACTTTTCCCTTGAGAGCCTTGGAATGAGGATAAACGTATAAAGTTTTCCCTTGAGAGCCTTGGAATGAGGATAAAAGTACAAACTTATTCCCTTGAAAGCC